TCATGCAGTTTTTGGTCTATCGATTCAACCTGTGTACATAGAGGAAACTAGGAGCCTAGCGTTTGTTTACATTTTTCTTCACTTTTGTCAGCTGCACAGTCTCTAACGTTCATCCTTATCTTTTGGATAGACCTTTGGTTAAATTTTCATGATAAACTTTTATTTTATCTTTAAATTTTACTCACGATAAATGTGTAAATCTGTTGGAAAATATCTTTGCAATCATGCCATGAACAGCTGCCAAACACCTCGGCATTTTCGTAGTTCAATGTAAAGCTGTCGCCAGTGTCTCCGTGTTTACCAGTGTTTTACAATAAGTATGCCTTTAGTTACTGAAACCGTGGAATGTTTTTGATCAAATTGCAAATTAACTGGCTCGGACAAGTGTCTCAATCCATCGGATCCACCCATCCCTTTCCAGTGATCGAAATTCCTCCAACTTTTTATCATCAAACTTCGGACGTGTTTCTTGTGTCTTTTCAGCATCAATTATCATTTTTTACGAATAAAATATTCCCAGACAACAATCTGTTCACTATTACTGATCACAAGTAGCCTTTCACAAAATATTCCCTTCGAAATAGATTCCTTAGCCTAGTGAATTCGAAGCGTAACCGCCATGCAAGCCGATTTACACCTTGCATCATTTTTCAAAATCTACGACGGACGGTTAGTGCAATAATTTAAATTCGAAAATATTCAATTGTCTGTCTCAAATGTATATATAAGTAATAAATAACAAGTTTATAAACTTCAATGGGAATTGAATTGGGTCGGTACGTGATCAAATCTTCTGAGAAGGCCTTTGGCCTTCACAGGATTTGATCACGTGACCGACCCAATTCAATTCCCATTGAAGTTTATAAACTTGTTATTTTTATTTCTTAAATAGTTCCACAATGAATGATGATATACCACTTTCCTCTTTCAAATTTGAGAATTTCACGGCTTTGGGTTAAAACATGAATCAAATTCAAATGTTGGAAAGTTGTTACATGAGACTCAGGTGACATATAAGGCTTGTGGGCCTCTTGTTTCTATTCTATTTAAAAATGTATAATTTGCTGCATGATTTATGATTTTACAATAGGTGTGGTTCTGGAGCTGTTGTTGGATTATGGAGTAGAACAATGTTAGTTGTGGGACCTGATAAAGATTGGATCAACTTCAATTTCGAGTCCTCAATCCATTTGGTAGAAGAAGAGGATGGATTGCGAATTATTGGAAATTATGAGCATGAGTTCCTTCACAAAGTCTCAGGTACACAAGAGCATACTTTATATCATAGCTGTCTTTGAATTATTACACTGTCTGTTCATATGATGATTATATGTTCAATTGTTATTATACCTCTGCTCCGAAGGAGAGGGGGGTATGCTGTTTTACCTTTATGTGTTTGTCCAGTTGTCTTCTTGTCTGTCTGTCCATAGCAAAGTTTTGGTTGCAGTTTTCTCAGGTACTACATATCGCAGATGCTTGAAAGGATCACTTCATTATAAATAGGGATTTGACCTATAGGACCGGGCTTGGTTTTTTTCTCTACAAAAACCTGGTCGATTTCCGTTCTGATTAATGGCATTAGGCTGAATACATATAACAATTTGTTTTACCTAAATCTTTTTTTTCAGCGAGTAGAGGTATGAGGAACTCTTTCATTGAGTTTGTTATCTCAAAATGTAATAATTGATATTTGTCATAACTTCTCAATAAGCATAATGGTAATGTTTACTGCCTTTGAAATTCTATTCTTTATGTTTAGGCAATTTTATCCGTGACTGTAGTAAAACATTCCATTAATGTATGCAAATTATATAGGCCTAGCCCCTGCGAGACGATCATGAATAATTCATGAATTTCCTTGAATTTTTCATGAATTTTATTCATGAAATGTTCATGAAATGTTTATGAAGATCCTATGAACTTATTATTGGACATTTTCAAATCATGAATTTTTATTCATGAAAGAAAATTGATGAATATTCATGAATATTTTTTTTCATGAATAATTCATGAAGAGTCATATTCATGAAGATTCATCATTTCAAGAATGTCCAATAATAAGTTCATTGCATCTTCATGAACTATTCATGAATAATTTGATGAATTTTTTCAGGAATGTTCATGAATGAATAAAATTCATGAACCATAAGCATTCATGCATATTCTTGCTTATTTGTAAACAAAAAATGCAATATTATTATTCATGTTTATTCATGAAAATGCATTAAGTCATGCTAAAAAGTAACAGTAGATGATTTATAATACAGCATCTTGAAAGATGTCACAGAAATGTTGTTTGTTTTCCAACCATGGCAACAAAATATTTGTTAAAAAACTTAAAATAGACAATTCTGACACATTAAACCATAGTAAATGAGAAATGTAGTTCATTCCTGGTAAAAGTATAAAAAAATTTCAATTCAAATGCAACTCTTTGCAGAATGTTTAACCTTACTTGGTCAAAAGGAAAGGGGGACCCTAATCCTCGGCATGTTTCAAATTGTGTTTTAATGCCAGAAATTGAACAGTTTTTAATTCCAGTCTAGGAGAAAAGTTTGTTCAGGTAACAGTTTTCAGTGCTTTCAAGCAGTTTGAGCAGAGATGGTCAATTCAAAAATCCTTATTGTCTCTCCATGTGGAATTTCCAGAATTTCATCATTTGGATCCTTTGATTGAATATCATTCATATTTTCATTTCTTTTTCAAGAGCTCAGATTTTTTTTGCAGCCAGAGTTTCTTGTCTTCTGCTCATCAACATTTGTGAACTGCTTCTCTTTTTCCTTCAAAAAGAAAGATTTTCTGAAAGTACTTATGATTGTAAAACATAAGACTTTTTTGTATTTTCTTGCATTTTAGTTTCATTTAATTTTGCATCAGAGACACTTCCAAATTAAAACATTCTGAGTGGAATTTAAGCCTATTTTCTTGGACCGCCATTTTGTAGATCAATCAGGCCTATGAATGTTTTGAGTCTCAGTCTATAATTAATGTGTTATATGGTTGGATCCAAACTCAAAGCAAAGTTAGACAAAAATTGCATTAAAAAAAGAGACATACTGTATTAATTTATCATAATGTGCTTTAATCATGTTAATTAGTTGTTATTTTACAAATAGACAGTAACATTTACAGACAGATTTCTGACTCAGTGATTGCCTCCATTTTTTGTCACTCACCAGTTATGAAGTAGATCGATCCTATATATAGTCTTCCTTCTTCATATTCTGTTATTTTCTTAAAAAGTTGACAAAGATCAGTGACTGTACTGTTTATTGGACACATCTTGTGAGAGGGTGAAAAACTACAAATTACAAAAGTATAATAAGAATTTGATAAAATATCAAAATCATAAGCAATCATATAAAATTAAATGCGTAACTTTAACATGTGAGCTGAACAGGCCTATGCCTATCGCATGCTGGAAATGCGCGGTTTTACAAAACATTGTAGTTGCAGAATTTAAACATGATAAAATATATTGCATAATACTGTTAGATACAGATGATCAAGTTAGATATAAATTCAAGTAAAACAATATAAAACTTACTCCTTAGGGAGGCCAACATCACCAAACTTAACAGCCAAAACGCCAGGCAAACCGCATGGCTACCATAATTAGTATAAACAGAATATTGAACCCGATCGAAATAAAATTATGCAATACGAAAACGGCACAGTGATTATGCAAATAATAGATCACAAATACTGATTCTTCCACTCTACAAATTCCCACTTCCAACGTCTCGCGCGTTTTCAAGTTTGCGCCAATTCTGTACGGTAGAGCTAAGAAATACGTTAGTTTCGAATTTCCAAGATTTCTGTTTTAAAAAATTACAAACACTATCTGAATAATTTTCCACTGAAAATACAATTTTTTTTATATCAAAATAAGTTTTATCAATGAAGAATTCGAATTTTTTACGTCATAAATTATACATGTATTGACTTTTAGTTTCGTATAGCAAGTATGGCGGCCCCCTATGACATGATAATAACAATCTCTCGCCCTCAGACAGAATATTCCGAGCTGTGAAGACACATAGGAGAATTAAAACTACAAAATACGAATGTGGATTATTTCATAGATACTTTACAACCATGCAGCCTGTGCTCTATCATTTACGCACGAAGCAAGGGAAACTTTTGACATTTTAACAAAATTGAAATGTGTATAGCGTTTCGAATCAGGAATAATACGGTACAGTACAGACAAGTGATATAATTTTTTAGTTGTTAATAAATATATAAAACGTTTTTTACGAAGCTCACAAAGTTCATTTTCCAGAATGTTTCATTTTCCAACAACTTGTTTAAAGTTTGAATTGTTAGAGAAAATTCGGTCGAACAAAGTTGTGTGATGAAAAACGACATTAATTAAAGCACTTTATGATGAATATAACTGTTTAATTTAAATTATGAAGAAACACAAGTAATGAATTTGAAAAAAAAATGCTGTCAATGGTGATGCACTGTTTGTTTAATTAAAATCAAATAAAAACACGAAATGTTTAGAGATTTCATGATTTATTTTTTCAGATGGTGAAAGAATGTTATTAACTATAAATTATACCAGGGGCTTGTTCAACAATTGCATCGGCTTGCAAAAGTTGTATTATGAGAGTATTGAGTGTTTTCTGTCAATCACTTTTGTCAGTTATTTTAGTCTTCATGAAAATTCATGAACATTCATAATACCTTGAACTCTACATTTTTTCTGTCTTTAAAATGAAAATTACCAATATTCATATATATTCATCATTTGTTCATGAACTACATTTTATGAATATATTCATGAATAAAGTTCATGAACCATCTTTATGAACCAGTCATGAACCAGTCATGAACACATCATGAATGTTCATGAACGATTCATAAAAGTTCCTGAAATTATGAATTTCACCTCGCAGGGGAAATCAAATCCGAGGAGTACAGTTACTGATATGTATGTAGCCAAAATCAATTTTATTAAATCCTAAGGAATATATATATATATACAATTGACATTCATCGCAGCTCAATGCTGCCAAATGTACCTGTATTAAGTAACACAGAGTGAGGTATTCTTGTCCTCGGAGAAAGTGTTTGTTCCGCCTGACTGACAACTGTACATTGGATTTTCACGATTTGATATCTCTTTCATGTTTCTTATATCAAGAATGGGCATGCATAAAGGATATATAATTGAAAGAAAAATACACAAGGCTATAAAAAAATATAAAATTGGCTTTGAAAAGGCGAAAATTTAAAAGTGTGGTACCAGGTGGATTCGAACCCCCGACTTTAAAATGTTAGTGTGCACACTGTAATAGTCAGCGTATATATCAACTGAGCTAGTCTGACTGTACCATTTACCGGTATAAATTTGAAGCAGATTATCAAAATCAGGTTTCCTTATTTTTTGTAGGTATTTTGTGTATTTCGACCCTAGGGCAGGGGTGCCCCTAAAAAAATCCTATCTTAAATTAATCCTTACATCCAAACCTATCAAAATATCACAATTTTATTTAGGGGCAGGCCTGCCCTGAAGGACTTCTAGGCCAAAATTCATGCAAAAATCAACACTTTTTCGGACAAAATGGTGTTTAGGCCAACTTTGGAGGTGTATTGTAAAGTTATAAATAATAAATTTTAGGTATAAAATACAAATTTGAAAAATTTAGACATATACGAGGGTTGTCCCATAAAATCGTGGACAAAGCGTTTTTCTCTAAAAGTAATGGGCGCACTAAGCTGAAATTTTCAGTAAATGTTTATTCATCATATTTAAGTGAATCATAATGTTTTTGAAAATATATATTCAATAATAAAGATTTTATTCTGCTTGAATGTGCACAAGGTAAGGTCCTACGGCGCACGGTAAAAATAGCAAGGTTATATTAGAGAAGACATAAGGATTAATTCGTAAGAAAATTTTTTAATACATAAGATTAGGATGAAAATTATCCTAATTCCATTCCTTAATCAATTCTGTCGTCTTTTTAAAAATTTCAAGGCATTTGGTTAATTTTTGGCAGTTTCCCGAGCATTTGAAATGGGAAAGTAATAAACACAATACACGAAAAATGGCGACTTTTTATGACGTTACAGCGCACCGGAGAGCAGTTCAGATAGATTAGGATGTTGTAATGACGCCTTAAGAGACTTTAAATGAATACAGAAGAAAGAAAATATGAAAAATATCACCAGATCTTTAGTATATAAATGAAATGAAAGTTTTCTTAGTGAAGTCTTCGTGATCGAGTCCCCAGATAGTACAAAACATTTGGACAGACTGCCATTTGTTATAGCAAAGGACACTGTCACTGTCGACCGTCGATGTGAGATTCTCATTTAGTTGAATGATGGTGAGAATACTGTCTGTAACTTGCTAATAAATATTCAGAAGATTGCATGAGTGTGCCTTATTGGTTTCTTAACTGGTTATAGATACTCACATATGTAAATCAATAAAAATTTCTAAATTTAAGTGGGGCTTATCCAACTTTAAGTTTAGCAAAGATGAAACTTGACATTGTTTTAGACACTTTGACGTTATCATCCATGCGCCGTAGGGCGATACAGTACATAACATAAAATATCACATTTGTTTACCTATGCATATATCTTTTTGAAATTTGCTATGTATATTCATAATTTATCTACGAAAAAGTGGTGAAAATTTCAGAACGCAGTGATGATTATTTTTCAAACTAGACAACTTGTCCACGATTTTACGGGACAACCCTCGTATACGGTAGAAAACAACAAATAAAGATTAATTATTCAATGTCACTTTTTCCGGGAAATTGTTCTCTCCTATAGGTCAATTCTTTTGTCAAAGCGAATACATCCTTTAGCAGAATCTTTGCTAAGGCATATGCCATATGGTGGCATGTACATTATAAAATATCTGTTTACCTATGCAGTGAAAGGAACACTTCTAGTTAAATATATGTTTGACCTATAGACCCAATATTGGTTTCAGTCTTTCGAAAAAGCTTATTGATATCTGTTGTGGTTGCTGACTTAAGGCCACATGCATGTACAGTCATGGGACATAATTATTCATGTTTTTGCTTAAAAAACGAAAGTGGGGGTTCCTTGCTATAAATAGAAAAAAGATTTTCCCTTCATAATAGCTACCATGTCAAATAACTAAAAATGATGACGTGTACACATTTTTTTTCGTCTGCTGTCAGTATAGTAAATGTAAACACCGGTGTATAGAAATGGGTCGTACGGGAAAAGAACTCACTACAGAAGTAAGGGAATTTATTATAAACTCGTACAGAAATGTGTAATTTATCAAGGACTTTAGGAATACCCAGATCTACAGTGAGAAGTGTTATTAAGAAATTTAATCTACATCTTGATGTAAAAATTGTCAAGGAAGAGGCCGGAAGTCTTTATTCACAGAAAGAGACACTAACAAACTCTCTCGTGTTATAAAGGAGAACAGACGACAAACTTACAAAGATATTACTGAATTATTAATGAAAACAGGGATCGTTAATTATAACCCCCCAAACTTTGTTTGGGAGTATATAGGAATCAGCTTGTCCGTCTGTCCATCTGTCTGTCTGTCTGTGCAAACATGCCCAGTCCATATCTTTCTTACAGAGGGACATTAGAATCTATTACTTCACACAAAGATTGCTCATGACCCAAGGGTGTGTCATGACCTTGACCCAAGGTCATTTGGGGAAGTTCAAGGTCACTGGAAGAAAAATTTCATAATTCGTGTCCGGTTCATATCTTGCTTATGGATAAACTTGGTAAGTTCCTATTTCATACAAAGATTCCTCATGACCTAAGGGTGTGTCATGACCTAATGCAAGGTCATCTTTGCAAGTTCAAGGTCATTCAAAGAAAAAGTTCATAATTCATGTTTGTTTGGTACATATCTTTCCTATGGAAAATCTCAGTAAGTTCCTGTTTTACACAAAGATTTCTTGTATCTTGAGGGTGTGTCATGACTTTGACCCAAGGTCATTTGTGCAAGTTTAGGGTCACTGAAAGGAAAAAGTTCATGATTTGTGCCTGGTCCATATCTTTCTTATGGATAAACTTTGAGGGTTCCTCATTTACTCAAAGATTGCTTATGACCTGAGGGTGTGTCATAACTTTGACTCAAGGTCATTTGTGCAAGTTCAAGGACATAGACAGAAAAAAGATTCATAATTCATGTCTGGTTCATATGTGTCTTACGGATAAACGTGGTGAGTTCCCATTTTACACAAAGATTGCTTTTGACCTGATGTTGTGTCATGACTTTAAACCAAGGTCATTTATGCAAGTTCAAGGTCATTGACAGAAAAAGTTCATAATTTGTGTCTGATCTATATCTTTAGTCTTTATTTTTAGCTCTACTGGTCAGAGACCAGAAGAGCTTATGCGATAGAAATGTGTCCGTCTGTCTGTCTGTAAACAATTTTTCAAACTGCTACTCCTCGTACAGTTTTGGTCTGATTTCAATATAACTTGGCACACAAGTAGACTACACAAAGATACATATATATATATATATATATATATATATATATATATATATATATATATATATATATATATATATATATATATATACAGTCAAAACTGCCATAGCGACCCACTGTATTAAGCGACTCACTGTCACATGTGACCATAAAAATTCCCCCAACGCTTTTCCCTATACATTCTACCTGTATTAAACGACCACCTGTCTTACGCGACCAACGACCATGATTCTCTTGACCATTTTTTGTAATTTCAAGCATTTTCACCTGAATTTAACAACTACATAATTGCTGATTCCTACTTTCGATTTTGGTCGAGCATGCTACGTTTTTGGTTCAAAAAACCTTTAGACATGTTTTTATTTCATTTTATAATCATATAATGGGAGTTTTACGAATAAAACAACATTTATAAATAAATATTTTTACTTACTCTTTGATATTTATTGAATAAACATTAAAATCTAAAACATAAACATCACGTTTTTTCTGTCCAGTGATCGAGCGCCATTTTGAAAATAGACGTTCGAGGTCGATCTCGATATCATTTCATGCTACAAGGGCCAAATGAATCAGCTATAAAACCTGCCTGTTTAACTTTGATTAACAGGTAACTAAATCCTAGATGTTTATTTGAGTGCATTGTGTCACCAATGAGTATGTAAACACACGCTAGCTAGCACCAACACCAGGTAATAATTGAAGTGATTGAAATATCTGGTCACAAACAGGCAATTAGACACAGTAGTTCAGTAATGGAAAAAAAATTAAATAGGTTAAATAAATATTTTAGTCATAAATATAATTAAATTTTATATCAAGTGCATAACAAAAATCATGATACAGTTTTATTGCAAATCTCGCTCGAAAGTATTACACTGCGGCTGTAATAGCGTTGCCTTGAGTGTTGCCACTATTGGATTTGACAATTGAACAATTTGAATCACGGGTTTCGTTCTATAAAACAAGCAATTTAATTGGTTGATTAGGACCCACCCACTCTCGTGCAGTATCCTTTACCAATTTAAGTTAGAAAGTGTCCAACGGCTTGTGATTGTCGAAAACCGATGGTGACTTTTTGAACAATAAAATACACATACAAACAAACTACATGTACAAAATCACTTTTTAGCATGTGATATATTCCTTTCACAGACGGTACATGTTTATAGCGTTCGATGACATACCTATTTTCATTTTATTCTACATGTAATTCTTCTGATTTTCTATTCACAGCATTTTCCATTTTCGGTGTTGCTCCGTGTACCTACGTAGAAAGCATACCCAGCTAATACCGGAGCACCTGATGAAAATATATTTATATTCATATGTGGTAAAACATCAGATTTATTCAAAAGTTTACCGTTTTGTTGTCACGACTGTCAAAAATTCCATGTTTCTAATGTGTGTGTGCTACTGCTATTTTAACGGTCGTCATGGCAATATTAAAACATGCTATCAGAAACATGCATTGCACTTGTTACTGTAATGGGGAATATTATCCATATGTTCACTATAAAATAATTAATATCATTGATACATTTTCCAAATTTAAGAACGTTTAATTTTATTGATGTACTGAAGAAAAAACAGGAAAATGGCCCCGTTTTTCAATTGCAAAAATATGCCCTGGGTGACGTGTATCATTTTAAGTCAACTACTGCCAGTCCTGGATCGGATTTTATTAATTTGAAGATCATTATACAGGTTACCCAACCACAATAATTTAATAAGGTATTACATAGGTCCACTATATACTTTGCTCAGTAAGTAGAGGCCTACCACTTGTTTACAGCTGTCTCCATGAGAAAGTGGGCAGGTCTATAGAAAAGCACCAATCAGACTCTTTGTTGGATATCGCAATTGTATTTCAGTCAGATTCATCAGTGTCGTCACTCAACGCATCAGTATATCGGTCCAAGTGTATACTTTGAAGCAAGATTTGGGATAATTCTTAATAATATGCTACACATACGTAGTTACTTACAGGCTATCATGTAAAAAAAAACAAAAAAAAACAACAACAACAACAAAAAAAAACAAACTATTATTAGAAAAAAAAACCATGCAGCTTTTTTAAACTGTATGAAAAAAAAGTATTAATATTTTCAGATAATCACAATATTTCCCAATAATCAAATGACTCATGTGCACTAGATCAAGCAATTTTTTTTTATTTTATTAACAGGACAATTGTAAAAACATTTTAGAGTTGAGCAGTATACCTATTGAAAAGTGAAATTAAACAGAAGGTGTTATAAAATACATTCAACATACACATGTGGTATTTTCCGCATTGTATATTTGAACACTGCGGAAAAAAGCAACCTGTATTAAGAGACCACCTGTCATATGTGACCTTTTTTCCTTTCTCCGTTGGAAGGTCTCTTAATACAGGTTTGACTGTACTGTTAATTAAAGCACAAATATTTGTGGGGGATTAAATTTCGTTTATTTCGTTGTTAACAGTTATCAACGAAATTAAATCCTACACGAAATTTTTTATGATTATATATTGAATAGGGTTACTTTTAAAACAACGAAATTATATGCCCACGTAACTATTCTATATAACAAATCAACGAAATTTTATCCCCTCGAAAATTTGTGCTTCTACAGTATATATATATATATATATATATATATATATATATATATATATATATATATATATATATATATATATCCAAAAATGAAAAGAAATAGCACAGTGTCCGGTAATTAATATTAGAAAAAAAATGACAAGGCAACAATGTTAGTAAAACGTAAGCGCTTTCTTCATTATTTCTTCAGACGTTTTACAATTCAAAAATGTGACGTAATAACGTTACCTGTTGATAACGTCAACAACAATGCAATGACGTCACAATGCTAATAGAGGAAACAATTATAGAGTCAAAGTAAAATAACTTAATTCATAACGTAATAAACAATTAAGTCATGAGACAGTCTATATTAAACTATTTAGGGATGGTTTAAAAATCTTGATAAAGTGTTTTTCTTTTTCCCGTCTTTCTAAAACGTTCTCTGTTTTGAGTTTATAAAAGGGATAAACTGTGAATTGTCCCTGTCCACAAACAGCAAGATGTTCACTGAGTTTTATTTTTCTGTACTCGGGTTGGTTGATATGCTGTCTGTGTATACGTATATGAGTGCGAAGGGCGGTCCCGGTTTCTCCTATGTATAATTCTCCGCATCCAGCGCATGTTATACAATAAATCAGGTTTTTTGATGCACAGGTCATATCTGCATTTCAGTAAATTTCTTATTTCCGAGTGTAAAAGTACTTCCCTCTTTAATATGTCGGCAAGTTCCACAACGTGAATCGGAGCATGTATTGACCGTGTATGAATTCCGTTGTTGAGATAAAGATTTGCACAATATTCTCCGGAGGTTTTTAGGTTGTCTTTTACTGTTGATGAATTTATATTTTTCCAGCACTTTGGACATTTTCTCATCAGTCTGTAGAAGGTTGTTGAGGTGACGCACTGTAGGAGTAATATTCCTGTTCTTCGGATTGTAGGTAGTTACAAGCGGTAATATTGAGTTATCCGGGTTGTCACTTTTTGAGGAATTAATAAGTGTTTCTCTGTCGATTTCTGTGGCCTTTTTTATCCCGTCCTCAATGATTCCGGAAGGATAACATTGTTCAAGTAAATATTTTTTCAATTCATTTAGACGTTCATCTCTTGTTTTGTCGTCGCTAACTATTGTGCAGACTCTTCTAGCTAAATTGTACGGGATCGAGCGTTTCGTATGGCTAGGATGACAGGAACTGAAATGAAGATATTGATGGGTGTCCGTCGGTTTGTAGTATATGTCTGTCGAAAGACATTCTCCATCTTTTTTAATTAGGACGTCCAAAAACGGAATACTTTGTAAACTTTCTTCCATTGTGAAGTTGATGTCAGGATCTAGATCATTCATAATATTTAGGAAAGCTGCTAGATTCGCATCGCTGTCATTTCAAATTATAAAACAATCATCGAGGTATCTTTTCCAATTGTTCTTTATATTTTCTGTAGTTTGTTGGTAAAAGTAATTATGAAATCAAAAATATTACAACTGCTCAATAACAGCGAGTTTTACGATGAAATATCAGAAAACAGTGACAAAAAGACAATGCGAAAAATCAAAAACTTGATTAAAAACCACAACACAACGTCCTGTTTAACAAATAAAGAAGAGGACTTCTTAATAAATTTTGATTTCAGAGAAAGTGCCTTTTATGGACTTCCTAAGATACACAAATCTAAAACAATAAAGGAAGCGATTAAAATACAAAACTCTGCATATGTTACATGTAACGACCCGGAAGATCTCACATTTAGACCTATCGTAGGTGGACCAAATGCTCCCACACAAAGACTGAGTCATCTTATGGACATATTACTGAAACCTTTATGCTTAGAAGTAAAAAGTTATGTTCGTGATGATCTGGATTTTCTGAGACATCTACCTGAAAATGTTAGTCATAATGCCAAACTAGTCACAATGGATGTTACCAACTTGTACACTAATATTACTACTGATCTTGGTATCAAGGCGCTCGAATACTGGATTGATAAATATCCACAAAAAAATTAATGAGCGTTTCAGCAAAGACTTCATCTTAGAGGCGAGTAAGTTAGTATTGCAAAATAATACTTTCTCCTTTAACGACAAGCATTATGCACAAAAGAAAGGAACAGCAATGGGAACGAAAATGGCCCCTACTTATGCCACCCTTACACTAGGATATCTAGAAGAGAAGATGTATGAAAGAACAACTCGGTACTTTGACCAACAAACTACAGAAAATATAAAGAACAATTGGAAAAGATACCTCGATGATTAGGGCTGAAACGATACGCCCCCCTCACGATACGATACATATTGCAATACATGTGCCACAATTCAATATTTTCAAAACGATACAATATGAAGGAGAAACAAATCATACAATTGAAGAAAAGATATAATCAGGTAAGTCACACTTTGTAATTTTAATTTCATCAAAAAATGTAAACAGATAATTCAACAAGCACTATTTGTGCCATGAAACAAGGATAAATCATTGAATACAATGAAAAGAACATTGAATAATCAATTAAACAATGAAAGTTAACTTTTATTAATTTGTCATTTATCAATGATCAGAATGACTTTTAGTCGAACTGCTAGTCTGCTATGTAATTTGAATGGAAACTTTCTTTAAAGTCTTTAGCACAAGTCACTCGGAACTTTAAGATTTGATTTCAAGAAAATCAACATATCCACATTATCACCACTCAGTGAAGCTCTCTGGGCACATACGATTTCCCCTGCCGCAGAAAATACCCTTCTGAGGGTACTGATGTTGCAGGTATTCCTAAGTAATACTTTGCCATTCTAGAGAGAACAGGGTAATTGGTTTGGTGAACCTTCCACCACTCTAAAGGATTGCTTTGAAGAGGTGTTGGTGCCTCAGTTTTGTAAAGAGAAAGCTCTGACTGGATCCTGTCATGTGCGCTTGGTGGTTTTTCTATGCCTGTGATAAAGACATCTCCAAATAAATCGTCCATTGACATTTTTTCTCTTTTAACAGGGGGTGCATCCTCCTTAACTACTTCTCTATTCACCGGTGGATTTGAATCAGGAAGACGTGGGAGTTCTGGAACAATATTCTCAGCTTTTACTGTCACATCAGCCACCTGAAGATAAGTGCATAATGTAATGTTCGTTAAGAATTAAGATTTGAATTTCACCTTTAATATATATTTGAAAAAAAAATGATACTTGCCTTGTTCACATCAAAGAAGAGTGCCTTGTTCTCCAAGTCTTGAAATACATTCTGACGCTTTTCATTTGACAGATATGGTAGAGTCTTGAATCTGGGGTCCAGTGCTGAGCTGTTGAGCAAGACTGACTGAATATCTGGATCAGTGTACCTGTAATTTAAATTGTAAAATGATTTAATAAATACCAAAAAGGCTAATTAAAAGTTTTAAAACTGTGTTGTTATAAATAACAAAACTGTACTAAATATTAGACATCATGATTCATTAATCTTAAATTAAAAATTTGTGTGGTATAATATTAATTATTTTTAGTATTTTACCGTGTTGCTAGATCATTTAAGATGGTTTTTTTAACTAGCTGAATCAGATTGCTGTCACTATCCTTTGGAGCCATTTGTTGTTTCAGCATCTCCAAGCTTGGATGGATAAAAGATATGGTAGGATGTTTACTGTCACACATCAGAGTTGTAAGCGTTTTCATTGGTTTCAAAACAAGGATCAACTCTTCTGCTGCTTTGAGATCATCATCAGACAATGTGACTACATCTTTCAGATTCTTTTTGACATCCTTAGACAGAAGGGTTGCAAACACTGCAGGTTGCTGCTCAATATATCTACTAAACATGTCGTACGTACTGTTCCAACGAGTTGATAAATCTTGAATCAATTTGTGTTTGGGAAGTTCAAGCAAAACCTGTTTTGATGCCATGATAGCTGTAGCTGTAGAACTTCTGTGAAAAAAAGACACTATCCTTCGAATTCTACCTGCAACTCTATCAACTTGTTGACATTTAATTGCCCTCTGTGTCGCAAGGTTCAATGTGTGTGCAAAACATTTAATGTGGGGGGAAAATTCTGATGAAATGCTGCTTATTCCAGAGACAATGTTACTAGCATTATCTGTAGTAATAGCAATTGGTTGAGACTTCTTGAGACCCCACTCTTCAACAGCATTTGTCAAAACTTCAGCTAAGTTCTCAGCAGTGTGAGAGGAATTTAATTGCCTGGTTTGTAAAGTATGGTTCTGAATTTCAAAACTGCCATCAATGTAGTGGGCAGTGATTGTAACATAACTCTGGGCAGCCCTAGATGTCCAACCATCAGTTGTCACAGCAATGAAATCTGCTTTATTACTGTCAGTAAGAACTCTCTTTTTTACTTTTGTGTAGAGTTCTGGCATCACTTTTTATGCCATGTGTGTTCTACTAGGCATCTCAAATTTTGGTTCTAAAATGCTGACCAAATTCTGAAATCCAATGTTTTCTATTGTTGAAAAGGGGCGCATATCACATGCTAGAAATCCAGCTATTGCCATGGTTATGTTTCGACTCCTCTGTGAAGTTGACGGGAACTTTGTTTTTGGACTAGAAAAATTGTGAAGCTGCAATTGAGTGAACTGCCCTGTATGTGTGCTGTTACTTGTTTTCACAGACATTGTAGACGGAGAATTTTTTAGAGTAGCTGTTACTGGGTTTACTGGGCTCTCATTCAATAATATTGAGTGTTTACGTTTTAAATGTACAGCCATATTGGTTGTGTTTCCTGCCTTGTAACTAACTTCATTGAAACAAATTTTGCAGACAGTTTTATCTCGTTCCGTAACTTGCCTTTCGTTCACGGTTATTATCTTAAATCCAAAATACTTCCATACCGCCGACCGATAAGACGCAGGAGGGTTCTGTAGTTTGATAGGTTTCACTGAAAGATTATTGTTTGTGTCTGTCACAATAGAAACATCGCCTCCTTCAACTGTATCTGTCGAAATTGTTGCCATGTTTTTTCACCTCGTGTAGTTAAACTAATTAAGTATGTCGAACCCGATGCGATAAACCAAACCTGATTTTAAAAAAACGTATCGAACCGAAAATCGAAGCAGTGAATCGAAAATTGAACCGAGCGTAAGTATTGAACAATATCGATATTTCGGTGAATCGTTTCAGCCCTATCGATGATTGTTTTATAATTTGGAATGACAGCGAGGCGAATCTAGCAGCTTTCCTAAATATTATGGATGATCTAGATCCTGACATCAACTTCACAATGGAAGAAAGTTTACAAAGTATTCCCTTTTTGGACGTCCTAATTAAAAAAGATGGAGAATGTCTTTCGACAGACATATACTACAAACCGACGGACACCCATCAATATCTTCATTTCAGTTCCTGTCATCCTAGCCATACGAAACGCTCGATCCCGTACAATTTAGCTAGAAGAGTCTGCACAATAGTTAGCGACGACAAAACAAGAGATGAACGTCTAAATGAATTGAAAAAATATTTACTTGAACAATGTTATCCTTCCGGAATCATTGAGGACGGGATAAAAAAGGCCACAGAAATCGACAGAGAAACACTTATTAATTCCTCAAAAAGTGACAACCCGGATAACTCAATATTACCGCTTGTAACTACCTACAATCCGAAGAACAGGAATATTACTCCTACAGTGCGTCACCTCAACAACCTTCTACAGACTGATGAGAAAATGTCCAAAGTGCTGGAAAAATATAAATTCATCAACAGTAAAAGACAACCTAAAAACCTCCGGAGAATATTGTGCAAATCTTTATTTCAACAACGGAATTCATACACGGTCAATACATGCTCCGATTCACGTTGTGGAACTTGCCGACATATTAAAGAGGGAAGTACTTTTACACTCGGAAATAAGAAATTTACCGTAAATGCAGATATGACCTGTGCATCAAAAAACCTGATTTATTGTATAACATGCGCTGGATGCGGAGAATTATACATAGGAGAAACCGGGACCGCCCTTCGCACTCGTATACGTATACACAGACAGCATATCAACCAACCCGAGTACAGAAAAATAAAACTCAGTGAACATCTTGCTGTTTGTGGACAGGAACAATTCACAGTTTATCCCTTTTATAAACTCAAAACAGAGAACGTTTTAGAAAGACGGGAAAAAGAAAAACATTTTATCAAGATTTTTAAACCATCCCTAAATAGTTTAATATAGACTGTCTCATGACTTAATTGTTTATTACGTTATGAATGAAATTATTTTACTTTGACTCTATTATTGTTTCCTCTATTAGCATTGTGACGTCATTGCATTGTTGTTGACGTTATCAACAGGTAACGTTATTACGTCACACTTTTGAATTGTAAAACGTCTGAAGAAATAATGAAGAAAGCGCTTACGTTTTATTAACATTGTTGCCTTGTCATTTTTTTTCTAATATATATATATATATATATATATATATATATATATATATATATTATATATATATTATATATACCCCCAGTATTTCAATGGTGTTGACAAATTAAAAGTTATTTTTTTTAAAATATGACTGTATTATACAATGTAATATGAAAATAAAAGTACTATATATAAATTTTAAAAGTAAAAAGATCTTATGAAAAATGAAGCACATGTATTTTTAAAATTTACATTTACTGGTACTTTCCCTGTGAAAACGGGCAAATGTAAAAGCTGCGATGGATAAGAAGAGGTTGTACTAATTGCCCAAATCCCTGCTGTCAATTCAAAGAAAACAGAAGTACGCAGCAAGTATGATGGATTATTATCCTACACATAGGAGTGTTGGCTGTCTATTCATACTTTCACGACAAATGCCACGAGTTAATCTTCGAGCCTTTTCTTTGGAATATTCTATTGAATAAGTGTGATAGCTTCGCTCCTTTTCTGTGGAAATTATTCTATTAAATAGGTTTGATAGCTTCAATGAAATAAAAAAAAAACAAAACGTTCTTATAGCCTAAAATTCGAGGTTTAGAAAATATGTTTAACACATTTTACAAATTCCATATCGTATATAAGCAAGAAACACTAAAGCAGTAAAACGGCTATGAATTTTTAACTTTTTTTTTAAATTTCCTGTTTATCCACAAAGTGAACTCTCCCAATTGGTTACACTTTCATTAAAAGGTTGTAATGGTTTGCCGAAAAACGTATCGCGCTTCGACGGTCAAGGACTCTGATACCATTTATGTTCAATAACTTGAATCAGATCTTTGAGAATGTAATGCTTATATAAACTCCATTAAACGATCTTATTAAAAAATGGTTTTCTTATTTTTGTCTTTTATATTAGTTTAATATGACACAAGTGTGCATGGGAAAAAGAGTGGTTACGTTATATACTTACTATATACATCGAAATTGTTTCTTGAAAAACTTTTAATTATAACTATTATTTAAGATCTGTTTTTCCGTGGTGCAAAACAAAAGATAGTAGGTATATTATTTCATTAAATTTATTCTTTTTTTTTCTACTTTGAAAACCAGCCAAAACCAATTATAGAACACGTTTGAGAAGACCTTTGAATAAATGTTTAGTTTGACACAGTAATGCAACGTAACAACTACGTGACAATCAACGTATTCATTTACATTTCATTTATGCTTATGTTACTTTCGTTCAAGCAAACGCTCGAGGCCTCTGTAAACCCCTACTCACGAAATGTCAGAGTTGACAGAGACAGCCGCCATTTTGGTCCCGCTTCAGATTTTTAAATGTTAATATCTTGAGTTTAGATTCACTATTATTCAAACAAATTATAAAGTATTAAGCATCAATAAAAGGGTCTCTGTTAACATTCCAAAAATAAATGAAAAATATTGAAAAACAAAAAAGTTAGAAAATACGATTTTTTATCTTTGCATCCCTTAACAACAGGAAGTATTTATGACGAACAAAAAGTCATGTCATACACTTATAAAATTTTCATGTTCCATTACTAACATACCCTCATAAGGGCATGCATGTCCTATGGACATATTTCTAGTTTATCCAGTAGAATGATACCTTACAGCCCCAATTAAATTATACATGACTGTTTCATTCGTTTCAGATGTAACAGAGAAGATATTTAAAATAGGCTCTATGGAACCAGGTGCCATGTTGTTTGAAGCCTCTAAAGAATTTTATGTAAGTTTTAAAGTTGTAATTCTTTATAAAACAACTACCATACAGCAGAAACAACAAATTTTTTTGACTGGTTTTAAGGTCTCACACAAGGAAATAATTTCAATATATATTACTATATAGCTTGAATTAAATTATTTGATTTATAAAATTAGACTCTCAGCAGAAAATTCATGAAAGAGAAAATAAAGATTAATGCTTAAACAAAAATTTGAGATCAGAAAAAATATGCCTTATGCGGATTTTAAGAAAGAAAATCGACAGTGAACTTACCTACCCCGAAATGCACGTGGGATTCACACGTTGACAAACAGCCTACACACCATCCAGGAAGTTGCATCATGCGCATCTGAAAAAAGAGTTCCTTTTAATTCAGTGGGATAATTCTGCTAAAGAAATGATATTCCTAGTACATGAGTCCAATTTTAATACTGTAGGCCTAAAACAAATTGCCAAAAATGAAAAAAGAAAAAAAATTGTCTCTATATATATATATGGAACTTCAATTGACTAAGTTCATTTTGATGGGCTATTTCCTTGCGTAAGACCTTTAAGACAACGGTACTACCGGTAAAAGTTAATTAAATGAAATTTGCACAAAATGTCTCTGAGTTATTTATCTTTCATATACTAGTGCATCGAGTTATGTCCAAGACACGATGTAGTTACGATATCGACACATTACTTTTTTATAGTTTACTATAATAGTTCTATATTCTCATGTGTATATTACAATACTTTTTGTTTTAAGACTATTTCCTTACTGTTAATATCCTCGATATCGTGCTGATATCGAATCATGGTTGCTCTAGGAATTGTGATTTCCATCCTTAATATGGTGTT